ACAAATTATAGATTTTAGGGCAAATGTTACACCCAAGTTTGGAAACAAATTTAATTTATTTAAAATCTAACTTTGGATTTGGACTATTAGTAAAAAATAATTTTAATATTATTATTGTGGGGTTTTTGTTGTGATTACATTTATCGCGTTCCGATAAGATTTACTCTTTGAGTGTTATATATTGAATTATTTAAATGCTTAATATATTTATAATTCATATTTTAAATTACTATTACACCCATTATTATACCCATATCTCTAATAAAAATTATTATTTATAAATAAGTTTTTTCACTTACTTAATTAGTATTTTAGATAATTTTTAAGGTCATTTTTTGAAGTTTTCAGAGCATTTTTGCACTTTTTTTAGGGCATTTTTGTGTGTTTTTTAGGTCATCAACATCCTAACTCTAGTTATAACTAGATTTAACTCATTTTTCCTTTGAAAATAAATTATATTCATATTGCATACCTATTATTTAAAAAAAATACTAGGAAAAATAATAATTTTAGGTAATAGATAGGTATTTACGTTTGGAATGCTTATTTGCGGACTGCGGTTGATTGCAAAGATTTTCTTGCATTACTAAAATAATATATTATTCAAATTATTGATCATACGCAAACTCCTGATGGAGTATAAGCCGAACCAAAACCTAAATCTATTTTTAAACCCAAATGTAAAAAATTTTTTATACACGCGCGTAATGAATGATAATATGAAAATATAAAATATTCATCATTTGAATTTATACCTATTGGCTATTTTATTTTAAGTAATAAGTAATGTAATAATAACAAATTATTTTTGAACAGCGGCCCACCGGGAAAGTTCCCGGTTTCCCGCCGGCCCAGTCCGCCCCTGGGCATAGGCTATAGATATCTTTATAGGGCTATGGCCGTGGTCTATGGCCACGAGTCCACGACGGTGTTCGAGGCGGCATTGCGGCAATCGCCTGAATCGGCTAATTCACACAGTGTCATCACAGCTCAAATTTAATCTGTGATGTCACACCAATGTACTCATAGAAAGCCAGAGCTGCCTCAGAATGAGGTTGGTGGAAGTTTCCGCGGGTAAGAGTGACTGCGCGTCTGCGCTGCACACTCGGTTTGAGATGGTCCATTATTTTAATAATCCATTCATACATTATCAATGCATTTTACAAACGTGTTGATAACAATTTGTTGACGTTTGTGATTAGCGCCAATTGTTTAGAACTCTTTACTCAATTACTCTTTTTATTATTCATGTATGCATTTATTATTATTGTTATTTTTTACTATTGTCTATTCGAATTCAGTTTGTACTTGGTCGAACGGTTTATATTTTAAAGATTTGTAGAATAAAAGTATGTTAAACATACTCAAGTGACAATATTGTTGTGACGGATATTCAATATTTTTGACATATGAATTTAGAAGTGTTCAACAGAGTGAACTGGAAGGTACGAATACGAATGTATTATTTTAACTACTATGTTTATGATCCCATGAATTTGTTTTAAACGCCACTGTTGATTTTAAAATTCTATAATTTTATGTAGTTAATAATATCTAACTAATAAAATAACAATTATGGAAGTACACAAGAAAGATTTAGTAGCTTTCTATTTAGTAATGTTTCTATACATTATGTTTATCAAATATTATGATTAAACTTATAATAAATTGATTAAATGTACGAACTTAGAAGATGGTAACCGCGTTTAAATATATGTGTAATAAGATATTTTTAATTGTTATAAAAAATATTTTGAAATCATGATTCAGGAGGGAACTGGAGGACGTTCTGGAATGTATTGTGAGTGGGCGTCACTGAGTTCGGCAGTTCAAAACTGTGGCGAATTTGGTCAAAGTGTCTTAAGTAAGTTCCCAGCAGGTTCAGGCAAAGAAGTTGTGTTATCAGTCATCAAACAACTGTCGTCAAATTTAGGTATAACTCATCCACCTGAACCAAGTAAACTTGCCAAAGACAATGAAGTGACTTGGTGTATGGAAGTCAGTAAATTTAAAAATTAATAACCTAAGGTCTTAACTAATGCTATGTTTATTTTAGGTTATTTGTTATGGTTTGAGCTTACCATTGTCTGAACATGATACAATTAGAGATTGTGTTCATATATATTGTGATTGGCTTTCAGCGTTGTATGAAACACCAAAACTATCCGTTCCAAAACCAGTTTGCAACGATCCAAATCTATACGCTAGAAAAATAATTTCACATTTCTATAATCTATTTGTACCACGAAAAGGAGAAGGTAAATCAATTCAATTTTATCATGGGTATTTCAATTATAAGTTAACACGTCTTAATACTTACTATACCTATTATTAAAATTATTATAATACTTAGAAAAAAAATTGTTTTTTTCTTTGTTACAAGTCTGGACATTTTTATATTTAAATATTGGTAAGGAATTTTATGAATTTAATAAATAATGTAGATTTGTTAAAATGACTGTACCTTTTTAATATTGCTTAAGTTTCAGGTTTTATTTATAATTGTGTTTTGTACTGATTCATAGTTGTATTTATTTTCAGGTACTGACACAATTAACCGCCAAGCAGTTTTGTGTCATCGTGTCTTAAGAACATTGCATGATTTGTCAAGAACATCTAAAATTATTGAGCCAGAAACTTGGGAAGCTTTGTTGCTATTTCTTCTGGCCATCAATGATGCTTTATTAGCTCCACCAACTGTAAAAGGTGTTTTCATATATTCTTATTATATCTGATTGGCTGCTAATTTTAGATAAAATATAAAACAGTCAAATCTTAATAACTTAAATTTTGAGGGGAATAAAATAAAATTGAGTTTACACATCTCAAATACAACTTATAATAGCTTCATTGGGCAAGAAAAAATTCATTTATAAATATTTTCGAATTATTGGAAATTATTAGACTATTTTAATTGTTATTATTGATATTGAATTTTTACAGAGGATGTTGGAGAAGAATTATGTGAACGAGTACTAAGCGTTCTAATAGAAGTATGGCTTGTGGCTTGTGTACGTTGTTTTCCTTCTCCTTCATTATGGAAAACATTGCGAGAAATGGCAGTCACTTGGCGCCATCGTACTGCTTTGATTCATCAATGGAATCGTATAAACTTAGCACTTACTGCTCGTGTATTAACATTCATGTATGGTCCAGATTTTCCACAGTTAAAAATACGTATGTACAATTTTTATAAATTCAGTGGTGAATGCTGACTCCAAAGCATGATCATGCTCAAGCTCAGTTATACATAATTTATTAAACACTTGTTTTTGGTACAGTAAAATTTTAAAAATTGGAATCATTGCTAAAGTGCAATTGAATGCAATAGTTGGTAAGTTCCAGAGATGCCAATAGAACCTATTAAAAAATATTTTCATAAAATAAGAGTACAAAGGTTTATGGTTCTTGGTACAGCCGATATTTCTCTGCAATAATAAGTGCTTTATAGCTAGTGCATGTGTCATCTCATATTTTCATGCTCTGATAATAAAAGATACGATAATAATATTACATATCAGTTATCAGTCTTAATAAAAGAGAAATTTAATCATACATTATTTTTACTGTAATTAAATATGTAATATAACTAACAATTTGTAAAAGAATAGTTTTTTATTCATATACAAATGGTACATGCTACCTAGCCTGGAGAATTCACCACTGTATAATTTATAATTGAATAAACTTAATAAAACAATATGAAATTTAATTATTTTTTTATTTTAGCTAATGAAGACATTCACCTGATACCATCTGGAATGTCTAATCACACAATAGCACAAAGTTGGTTTAGACTTCTACAAACTATTGGAAATCCTGCTGATCTCAGTCGACCAACTACAATTAGCCGAACTCCCAAATTTCTTCAAGCTGCACTTTCTGACCCCAATCATAGGCTTGTTGATCCATCAAATCATCCATGTTTAAATGTATTGCCTTACAATTTTTATGTAGCTATACGTGGGATTGCATCACTTGTTGATGCATTTTTAGGCAAGGATTTATTATACATATTAAATTTTTTAAATATCTTCTTATTCTTGGTGATAAGAAAAAAACATTTTTAAATAGCACTTTTTTAATTTTGTAAATATAAACATAAATGCACATTTTTAAAAATAGGCATTGTTTCTCATCCTACTATTATTTGGGATGACGTCTTACCTTGGACTTCAGGAAACATTTCAGAAAAAAAAGAAGCAAGTACTGTTACACATACACCGCCTTCGCAACGTCGATTGGCCAAAAGTTTTAGCGTTGCACCTTCACTTACCAATAAGGGTATATATTTAGTCACAAAATTAAATTGTGTCATTAAATAAAGTAGTTTTTATCATACATCTACGGTTGGCAATATGCATAGGTGTGCACATACAATTTTATGCAACTTAACAATAATATTTTTGGAACAATTTGTTATTTTCAAATCATGATGACTACCACCAAAAGAAAAATCAAAATAATGTAGGAACTACTAATCAACGACCATCAATATGTTGTCAAATTTAAGTTCAAAATTTGTATACATCCATCTGTGTCAATTTTTTTTGACATTTATCATGAAAGGTTTTAGTACAATTATTAATTTGACTGTGTAATTGTATACAAATTTAATTTTAAAAATATGTATAAATGTATTATATTATAAGTAATTAGTGGTGTTGGCAGTTAGTGAAAGACTAAGGATAAACTCTTTCTTGGATTATTTTCTCTTCTGCCTAGAAAGCCTATACTTTGTGCATGCCTATGATCATTTGGCCAAAAGGATTGATTTACTGAGGAATAATAAAAAATTATTATTTGCCTTATATTTTATGGTATTGTCTATTAACTAATAGTTAAACTATATTACTACCTACATAGAGTAATAATAGTAAATAAATGTATTTATTTTTTAAAAGAAATGCTTTTTTAATCTTGGTGAATTATCTTATGAACAGATAATTTTGCAAAAAGTATGAAATGGTATTGTTGATGGTATATTCTAATCTTTGAATTATTGCTTTAACCAAATTAGTTTCCATAATTTGATAAAGTACTTATAATATTTATTTATTTGGAAAAAAAAATTTAAAATGTTTATTTTGTAAATATATTTTATTTTATTAACAATTCTATTATAATTTATAATTGTACTTAAATTGAGTTTGAAAAATAACTTTTTTGTCTACAGGTATCCCAAAATCATCTTTAGTTGGATTAACCACTAGCCGTATTAGCACTCAATCAAATAAATTGTCTTCTTCAACTACTTCTATCCCATCAATATCAATATTTTCAGGTAATTAATTTATAGGCTTCTAACTTTTTAATATTTGTAATACATACATGTAACATTTTTGAGAATTAATTATTTTTACAAAAACAACATTGTTTTGAGAGATTTTGTATTTAATAAATATATTTATTTCATGCATTTGAAAAATGTATAAAATATATTTACTTTCTTTTTAAACAGAACCCAAAATATTTGCTGAAAATCGACCACGGTGTAATAGTATTCTCCACCTCTTTGGTGAATGGTTATTTGAAGCTGCATTAATTGGAGTTGATTTTAATAAACCTAAATCTTCAACTACGTGTAAGTCATTTTTAAATAATATATGACCGAAATATAACTATGTAAACTGTTGTTTAAAAGGTATTTAAGTATAAGTCTTACATAATATGATCAAACAATTTTGGATTTCCTAATAAATGAATTGTTTAATTATTAATTTTGGACTCAACCTACAACACAGTCTGATGATTTTTCAAATGTAACATCTATGATTTCTTTTGTATCTAATATTTACATTAAAAAAGATTGTATTACTTAGTAATTAAATATTCTACTTATAGATTTATTTCTATAATAAAATGTATTATATTCTCTATGATACATAATTCTTACAATGCATTTTAAACGTGTACAATTTTTTTTTTAAAGCCTTATATGTACATGCCTTGTATAGGGTTCTTAGTTACTTGTCCAATTATATTTATAATTCTTAAATATGCCTCTGAAACTTAATTTTTGCTAAACTAGAATATAGCATCTTCAGTCATATGTAAATGGAATAAATAAAAACATGTTAGTTAATCAAAAACCAAAAGTATACTATAATCATATTTTTATGCAGTAAGATACATGATTGTTCATTGTATGTGCGTGTTTGATTTAAAGAAAATTATACATTTGTACTATACTATCATTGTAAATTTATTTGTTTGTAGCCGACAGTAGTAGAATGTATAAACGACCAAGTTCAGTTATGTTTGATACATCGAGTATTAGAAGTAGCGGTTCTGGTGGAGGGTACAGCAGTATGGGAGGAGGAAGTACAGCGTCTGCATCACAACCTAATTCACTTACAGACAATGTGTCTGATAGTATTGACTCTATAACTTCCAGTTCTGCCAATGTTCTTCATTACGATCGTTATATGCCTGGCCGAGCTGAAGCAATAGGAACATTGTGTAGAATATTTTGCTCCAAGAAAACATCCGAAGAAATCTTGCCAGTTTATTTAGCTAGGTTTTATATGGCGGTTTATGAAGGACTACATATTAATGAAGTAATAAAAATAAATCTTAATTTTAACCTACTTTAATTATATTATACATTTTAATTAAATAAGAATTATTTTAATAAGGCACACGAATGTGATGAAACCATTTCAAGTATATTGTTAAATTCACATAACCTTTTACGCTTAGATTTAAACGGAATTAATGTTCTTATACCATATATCATTGAAACATTAGAACTTGTGTTACCTGAACGAGAACTTAAACTCAAGTAAATAAATAAACATAAGTTTAATAAATCATATAATTATATGATTTTTAATATTTTAATTGTATTTGTAGGTCAAATAGCATCCCTAAGAATGAATTAAGAAGGTCAGCAATACACCTATTACTTTCTATGCTTGCATTACCATTACACTTTAAAGTAATTTATATATTAGTTTAATATTATTTATTTATATCGAGTTGTTATTGAAATTAATATTTTTGTACTTGCATAGGATTTAGTTATTAAAGAACTGAATGTGTCTAATAATAATACAAGAGGACCTATTATTATGGGAGAACTTAAACCTCGTGTTATGAATCTTCTTATAAATGCTTTACAGTTTGAATCGGATTCTCATAATTCACAAATGCTTTTAGGTATAATGTGAATATTTTAGTTTTTAATAGTTTTCATTTTTATCATTTTCTAAATTTTTGATTTTATAGGAGGGTTATTATTGTGTGTACAAGATTCTGCAATTTTTGAAGAATCAGAGAATGATGCAGATTCTGATGCTACAGCTCAAAGTGATACTACGTCTAATTTGCTTTCTTCAGGTAATTTTAATTACTATAAGAAGTTTCAGTACCTACATTTTAAAATTCTACATACATATTGCACATACTTACATTATTTATAATTATTTTATAATATTGCGCTTGATATTATGTAGTTTGTTACATCAACTAACACAATTGTTTTTTTTTTTGTATTATTATATTTTATTTGCGCTTGTTTGCACAGTGGAAACAATGAGTTCATTTAGCTTACCATCCAGTAATCAAGATCAAATGTCGAGTTTACCTCACAGCAGTTCAAGTAATATACCAACTCCTGAATCCAGTTTAGATTCAGCTGGCTTTTATTTTGGTGAACCATTTGACTTCTCAATTCTAAACAAAAGTAATAATTTTCACAAAAATGTTTTATTTATTTTTGCGCTATATTTAGTTTTTATTGTATATTTAATATTTATAATTTTAACATAATAAATTATAAACTATTGCTATTGTTATTTATTTAATAACAAAAGTATCTTATTTCTCTCCATTAGAGTAATAAACTTATTCTAACCATTTTACTTCTTATAGTTTTAACTATAATCTGGTCTAAAAGAGAATATACCAAGCGACACGTATCTCCCAAAAAATGGCAAAGGTAGTGAAAGAGAAAAAAGTATGGAGAACTGGTGTATTCTCTTTTGGAACGGACTATAGATTTGATATTATATTGATATATTTTTTAATATATTCTTATATTAATTTTAAGTATGTATACATTTGTTGATGACAATAATATTGTATAAATAAGATCCACTGACTTCAGTAATATAGTGAAATTTATCATTGTATTATTCGACTCAGCTACTAATATTGACTTAAAAAATATGAGAAATATTCTACATTTGGTTTTCAGTTATTATCATCTATATTCTATACTAAACAATTATATTTATACTTATTTTTTTTAGATTCTGCTCATGCATTATATGTTAGAGCTACATATTTAGTATGTCATAGACTAATTTCTTCATGGAAATCTGATTTGAATATTTCACTAGCTGCTTTAGAATTGCTCATGGGTTTAGCTAGAGTTCATATAAAAGAAACAGGTAATATATTTTTTAAATATCTTACAATTAATAATTTTAATTAAAATTGATATACTTTTATTATTTATTAAGAACTGTTGTCTTAACATTTACATACTGAACATTTATATTTAATGTGTCTATGGTATATTAGTTTTCTATGAATATTTAAGAATTTATTGATACAATTATTAATTAAACAAGAAAAAAACATGTTAAATACAAAATAATGTTTTATAGTTTTTATTATTTTTATTTTCAATGAATTGTTAATGGATAGTAAATACATAATTGATGTTTCATGCAGCAAGAAAATTAACTGGTAATATAATATATTATATTTTATATGTAATGATTAACAACATTAATTATAACTATTTATGAGTATTTGTATTTTTCAATATTTCTATTTTATTTGAAGTTTAAATTAATATGCATGAGTATGTTACTTTTATAGATTCATTGGAATGTAAAAGAGCTGTAAAATGGTTATGTGATTATATAACTTACCAGTGTTGGCGACCACCTCCAGCTCATTCTCGAGATTTGCATTCCACTATTGTTGCTGCATATCAATGTGCTGCAGTTTGGATTGTTGCTCATCCTTATCTACTGGATGATAAAGATTGTTTGAATACTATTATTGAAGTGGTAGAACTTGGTATATCGGGCACTAAATCACATGTAAGTTATTTGAAATATTACAAATACAGACGACACAAATATTCACTATAAACTATAGAAACTATTTATTTATTTACTATTTAGTATATGTTGTCAAATTAATTCAAAAGCTTAGTACAGTGACATTTATATTTAGTAACACCTCACAATATCTAATTTGTATTCCAAATATTTAAAAAAAAATGTGTACATTTTACCTCTCAATAATGGACTATACTTAATTCCAAAACGAATATCTGCTAGAAATCTCCCACCATATTTATAATATTTATACATTTATGTTTGTTTAATGTTTATAATATATATTATATTTGTATATAAATTGTATAAACAGGGTAAACCCCAAGAACCAATAAAAATGAAAGATGAAAAAGAACTAAAACCAGCTTCAATGAGAGTAAGAGATGCTGCTGAATCATTACTAACCATTATATTAGAACAAGTATGAAAAAAATATTTTTATTATTTTTATTATTATTTCATTTTTATAATTAAATTGTTTTTTTTTCTTTTTGTATTCATTATAGGTTGGATATTTTCCATCTGTCTGTGGTGCTGAAAGTCTATCATGTTTATTGGACGAAATAACATTAATCAAACACTGTAATTCAATAGCTACTGATAATGTAGAATGCAAATCTCATGCCATATCTAAATTTAGATACTTTGTGTTAGAAAATTCTATAATATTAGCTCTTTTTGAAGAACCTTTAGGCAACAGTCAAGGTAAATATATTTTGTTATTCCAATAAAAACTATATAACTTGTACAAATTATAAAACGATTTCCATAAAGTTCATTTTTTCAAAAATTTCTGAAGCTTTAATTACTAAAAAGTTGTCTTTACTTATTTCCCCTTCATATCTAAAAACCAATATGGTTTTTAGACCCAAAATTTTGATTTCTACTAATATTTTACTTTATCAGACAAAAATTCTTTCGGCCTTAAATCAAAGTGTTCAATTGGACACTATTTATGCAGACTTTCTAAAAGTGTTGGATAAAGTAAATAACATTCTATCATATAAATTATCTTATTTTGGTATTCATGGACAATTTTTGGTTAAAACGTATTCTATGTTCTCGTGCCCAGGTGGTTAAAATTAGTAGTTATGCTTCTAATGACTTTTTGGTTAGTTCTAGTGTTCCTCAAGGGTCGCACTTAGGTCCCCTCTTATTTATAATATTTATTAATGATTTACCTTTTATTTTTGATAGCTCAGTTGGCATTCTTTTATTTGCCGATTATACTAAATTATTTTCCGTTATTAAATCACCAAATGATGCATTAAAATTACAATCAAATTTGGACAAACTTGTTGATTGGAGAGTGTTAATCACCTATTATATAATATAAATAAGTGCAGCGTTATAACATTCTCTCGTAAAAATAAGATAATCACCAACATGGTCAATGATGTCAATTATATGATTGATAATTATACAGTTACACGAGTTACTTCCAGACTTATTGATTATCTTTAATTTTTAATATGGATTTTTCCATCCATATTAACACTTTTCTTAAAAAAGCTTTTAAGATGCTAAGATTTATTAATATAAGCATGATTAATTTTGGAAATACCACCATTGCATTATACTTTTCTCTCATTAGGTCTCCTACTCTCATCTTGAGTTTGGGTTAATTGTCTGGTCACCCCACTATTTTTCACATACTAGTTTAATTTGAAAATGTTCAGTCAACATTTTTAAAGCTATTATATTTTAAATTAAATATACCCATTTTAAGAGATTCATATAATGTGCAGATCACCCAATTGGGGATTGTGTCTTGTGACACGAGAAATGTTGCTGATATTATGTTTTTAGTTAACTTATTAAATGGTCTTATGTATTCTCTGGAATTATTATCCCTCATTGGTTTTAGTATACAAACTCACTGATTAAGAAGATCCAAATTATTTCATTTTTTGCTTTGTAAAAACAATTATACTTCCACCTCGTTTTCCCGCAGAGTCTTTTGCAAACTGTCTAAAGGATCATGTTGATTTTTTTGTTATATCGCTTTATGTATTTAGGCAGAATATTTATATGGCTTTAAATTGACTTGTTTAATTTATTGTTTTTTTAATTATTATGCACCCCTTAGTTCTATTATAACTATTTATTGTTAATTTAATAGTTTATACTTTTATTATATAATTTATTCTTTATTTCGCTGTTTATTGTCATACTTGCTAATTCTTACTTTTTGAAGTGTTATCTATTCATATATTATAAGATAAACTGAAACTGTAATCATAATTATTGTATTTTGCTTAATAGTTTTAAACCCGTTTATTATAAATAAATAAATAAATAAATAAATAAGGTATCAAGTATATAGTTTTAATTGTTTAGACGCACAGCCAACGTTGACAGTGTTGATTAGAGGATCATTTGGACGGCAAGCTTGGACTTTACAACTAAGGCATTTGCCTCGTCATCGGTCGTCATCAACAAAACAGTATAATGTTTGCCCTGGCCGCCCTGTAGCAATGGAAGAACCTAGTCGACATAGACATTCACGAAGGTCTACAACACATTTCTCAGAAAACATAGAACGAATACCAACTTGCAAAATGTATAAATTTTTATTTTTTTCACAACTAATATATTTCATATATTATATATCATTTTTAATAAAATTTAAATTGCATTTAATTTTAGAGATAAATCCATACCAAGTTTGGATAGTTTAGTTTTTGATGATGAAGAACATAGCATATTATCAGATTTGATTGAAAAACAGAAAGAGATGGAAAGTTCTTATATAGAACCTCCACCTAAAGCAACAGAAATTTTGCCACCTCAACCTTGTACTGATTTCAATACAGCCAGATTATTTTTATCCCATTTTGGATTTTTGTCTAGATTAGATGATACAAATGTAATTATATTAATTACACAGGACATTGCACATACATGTGTTGTCTTCATATTACTAACATATAACATAGACAATGGAATGTTCAGAATGGTCCATTTATTCTGTTATTTTTAACATGAGAGAGTGAATTGACCAACCGTCAAATTTTATGGTAAGAATATTATCTTGGGCCCTATGTTTGCTTTTTTAAATATTTTTTTTTTCATGTAAAGGCTTTTGAGAATTTTAAAGCTTACAAAAGATTTACTTAAAATTACTCATAATACTTTCTTCAAAATTAAAATATCAAAAGAGTCTACGTGTGGCCGTAGATAATATTCTTAACTTTGAATTTAATAAAAAAAATAGATTATTTTGAATGTAAAATTTTCTATGTTACGTGTTAAATAAGACAAAGACAATGCATACCAGTATAATGACCTAGAATACACTTAACATCAAAACAAGCCAAACCTAGCCTAACCAAAAATTATTGCTATAAATAACTAAGTAAAATGTTTACTTTTAAATTTTAGCCATCAACCGTCCCTTCATTAGTTCCTTTAAATGTACATCATGAAAATTTCTGCAAAGACCTTGAAATTCTTGATAACACCCCATCACGCACCTGTGACACATGCCATGTATTTTATGTTAAGGATGGTCAAACAAATTTCAAGGATATCTTAAATAATGTGGTAAATATCTCAAACTTGTTCAATATTGAATTGTTTATTAAATAATATTTTTATGAATTAAATATGTTTAGACTTCCAACACAGCAGTTTCACCAAACTTTTTAGAAATGTTAACTAATCTTGGTTGGCCAGTTAATATTAATGTACATCCTGGATGGACTGGGCGTGTTGAAACAAGTTGGAACTTACCTGACTATAAACATTCTCAAGACGAAAAACTCAATACTTCACATGGTGGAAGCTTGTATAATGGTGAAACGCATGTAGTCTATTGGGCAGATGTAAGTTCTGAAATAGCTTTTGTCGTTCCTACAAATTGTAAAGAACGTGTGAAATCACAAAAGCCTGAAGGTATACTCAATACATTTTAATATTAATTTACCTGGAGATATTTTCAAAATTAATAATTTAATAGGGGATGTCTTGCAACACGGAGGCATCAGATATACAAAACCAGTCACTACAAGAGCTATGTCCATTGAATTTGATTATAAAGGAAAACCAACTCAGCCGCATATTGAACCACCTAAGAGACGTCCACAATATGTGTCCGCTACAATAATGTTAGTTTGGCTAGAAAGTTTTGAAGATCATATACACTTTCCTATTGGTGAGTAATCAATCATTAAGCACTCAAATAATAGTTTTAAATTGTATTCAACAATTTATTAAACTTTATGATACTGTAAAAGTAAATCAATGAAAGTACATTTTTAATATTTTCTTCAGCAAATCTTCTATCTTATACAAATACTGGCATTGAGCCTTTGTCACACATTAAAGATATTGGTGATGTGAATGTCATTTACCTGCACGCATTACAAAGTGGATTACTTAGAGTGAAAATGCAAGGACCAATCGGAAGGTATATTACTTTAAATTATACAATATCTGTATAAGAGTCGCACGCATATGGCTTAAATAATAAAATACAACCTTTACTAATGGGTATTTTTTTTTGAAAATTAATGATTTCAATTTTTATTTAGAATGACCTGCAATGTTAATCTTATATGACACTACTATTAATAACATATTGAATACTCTGATATTTAATTATTTAATTTTTTCTAGAACGAACCTCGCTACTCCGTTAGTTGATGGTATGGTTATTAGTAAACAAGTAGTTGGGACAATGGTCAGACAAACTGCATTAAACATTTGTAGACGCAAAAGATTAGAGAATGACAGGTAAGTTACATTGCTTTTAAATGCCATGACCTTTCATTTAATTTTTATAAGCAAATAAATAATGTAATTTACAATATGATAACATCATGTATAAAACTCAGTTTAACACAAATACACAATATTAATGAAAAGTACCTAAATAATTAAATTATTATTTGTTATGAATGGCGTCAGAATAGGCCAATATTGAAGTTCCACTTAAGCTGATAAGAAATAAGAATAATTAGTTATGGCTTTGTAATTTAAATTTATTTATCTTATATTTGTTTTCAGTTTCCAACCAGGTCATATACGCAGGCGTTTAAAAATTCAAGAAATTGTTGGAAAATATCAAATAAAGATGACTAAGCCAGAGCTTTATACATATTTATTAAGTAATGCTAATTCCACTTAAATAATAATTTCTACTTAGTGGCTTGTGCAATATTTTCTTATTATTTTTTTTATTTGTCATACAAAACAATAAATGTAAGCCAACTGGGATTAACTTTTATCTTTTATAACCGTATGCGTATTAAATTCCAAATGTTGTGATATTTAGTTATTTTTAATTAAAATTTTTATTATTGTTTACTTTTATTAACCATTTATTATAATTTTTTTTTTTTTGTAATGAAATTTCACTTAATTTTGTACATATTTGCACCAAATAATCATTTATCTGATTGATTTTGGGCTAAAAAAAAAGTTATTACATACATTTATTTTAATAAACTAATTACATTTTTTTTAAGGTGTGCAATGAATGTTTTTTAATTAGTTTCTGTTAGGTACAGTAATTATACGGATGTAAAGAATTTAAGTAAGTTCAAGATGTAAAAATTTACTATGGCCAGATTCCTTGTTCAAAATGGATTTTAAAACGAAGATCATTCCATTTGAAAACAATAATATGATCGATACTATTATAGAATTTGATTATTTTTCGATTTTGCAATCTTGAGATTAGTTGGTGTACACTATGGCCTATACTATTGAAATTATTTGAGGTCATAAATTGAGAAAACTGTATCTGGTGGTTTCCAGTTGTCAGTGAGTATCTAGTTAAAACTTTTGGAGGTCTAAAATAGTTTGGAAAACAATCTTGATCACTAAATTTTACACAAAACCTGTTTCTTAGTTGTAATTCAAAAAAGAATAATTATTGTAGACTTGACATTTTCATCAAATATTAATATAATATGCATTTTCAAGATGAATTTCCTTGGATCTTCTGAAGCTATTTGTAGAAATTTTAAATTTACAACTGGGTTTTTATTCAATTATGGATGATTTTCTATGATTACTAATAATATTTTTGTTTGTAGGTAAATAAGCTTAACAATTAAAAAATATGATTCTCATTTCTCAGAAGTAAAAAATTTAAAAATTACATATTTACAATTTTTTTTTATAAATGCTTGAACTATGATTTTTATAAAAAAAGCCAAACATTTTCAAACTATCTTTCCGCCTTCAGGTAGTCATAGTCTCATAAGTTGCAGGTAGTTACAAATTTATCATATTTTTTAATTTTTCACCTAATGTTTAAAACTTTAAGAGCTGCCAAACTGTCCAGTGTCTACACTCAGAATCGATTTTTATTGAGTTCAAATATTATAATTTATTTTAGTGGCCTAGTCAATGACAAAGTACAATTATAGAGATATAACAGTGACGTAATTTCAGTTTTGAAAAGGGGGGGGGGAGAAATATTTTGACCGACCCATTATAAAACTGAATAGAAAACCTAAATCTACCTATCTAATATTAGTTTATCTATGGACTATGGGCTATAAACTTACTATGCAGCCGAGCAACTTTACCATTTTTGTTAATATTTGTTATTAAATAAAATGTTTCACAGCCATAATTCCAGATGTGTGGAAAATTTTTTTTATAACTAATATCTCTTTAACTTTCTATCTTTTTTTTTTAATAAATCATGTCTGGGAATAAAGCTCAGAAGTATAAAATTAGCACTTGAGTTAATATTTTAGTTCAACGACCAACAAAAATCCATGGCTAGATTAAATTTTTGCTATTGAAACAATTTAACCATGTCGGCGATGAAAAATGAAAACCAAACGAATTTAACTATAAATAAAAACTCAAACATTTTTTTAGTGATCCGTGCTAAACATAGACACAGAGCATTCAATAAATATATATTTATATGGGACACAAACACAGAATTGATAACATAAAATTAAATAAAACACTTAATGTTATTCAACATTATATAATAGGACACGTAAATTTTCATATGAAAGTATACAATAGTAATACAGTGTGCTTATACTAACATAAATTAAATAAAGTAATAAAAGTGTATCAATAATAACATAGATTTAAGTTAAATTTTAAATTTAATATTGTGTATCTTAATTTAATTATAGGTACTATTTTTATGAAAGTAAATCTGTTAATATTGGTGGTGTACTATAACGTGTTCTATAATCATACTCAGGGGAGCTAAGCGATTCATAACCAATATCTTCATAATGTTCGGTGTCCATGTCATCATCATCTTCCTGACATATTTCAAGTATATGTTCATCATAAGTTGTAGTTACCTCTTCAACAGCTTCTTCTACGATAATAAAACGTTCCAAAGAGTTACTTTCATCTTCAGAATATTCTTCAATTTCAGATTTAATAACCACATCTGGCACCATAATGTGCGTTTCTTCAGTTGGAATTTTAACTGTATCTGTAATTGTGTCTGTGCCTGTGTCTGTGTCTAGCATGAATAGTGAATCATCTTCTACTTTTATGTCTGCATTGAGTAGATTAATATTTTGGCCGGATTCCATGATTTCTGATGTGCTCCCCACCATTTCATCAAGACAACATTCATTAAGGAAACTCTGTAAAACAATTTTGAAACATAAATTATAAATAATGCACATTGCACTTGCAATAATAATGTGAACTAAATAATACTTACTTCGCCGAGTAGTTCATCAGCAATTTTCTCCAAACGTTTTGATACATTGTTGTCAAGCCAGTCCATATCGTCATCGTCGTCTGGAAGCTTGAGATCATGTAGGATGGAATGGTCAGTAATAGGAATAGAATCTGATAACAGAGCATCAAACAGGATGTTCGATTCTGTTTGCCCTTCTGCAGAGGGTGTCTATTGGACACGGCAGGTCCATTAATCGAAATCTTGTTATTAACTTCTGTTGTACAGAATTCTGTAACTATTGATTTTGGTATTGTTGACTCAGTGGAAAGTTGTTCTCGTAACCTTTCATTTTCTGTGATCAACTGTTCTTGGTTGGCTCGTAAAGTTTCTATTTCTTCTCTTAAATGAATGTTCTAAAAATACAATTTTAATTATTTGTAAAATATTAAAGATACCTACTGCAATTATTATATATTGACAATTTAAACAAAATAATTAGTAAAATTAACAATATTAAAAACACAAAAGAATGATGCACTTAAATATGAATATGCAGTAAGAATATGTTTACATATATATTACATTCTTCATTTGTAGATCATAAAATCATCTATATATAATATATAGATAGTGTTAAATACTCCATAAATTAAAAGATTGACATTTTATGAATTTAAATGCATTCAATGATTAAATTAAAAAAATGTGCACACCTCTTTTCTTAAACCATGAACCATTCCCGACAAAATATTGAATTGTGCTTTCTTTTTATCTCTAGATAACTGTGCTGCTTCTCTGTTTCGTAATTTTCTGTAAAAAACAAAATATTTATTTTATTATTAATAGTAAATTAATGTTTAGATTTATCTATAGGTTAGTTTTAAATTTAAAATTAATTGGGGTTAAGAATAATAATATTTTGATTTATATTCAAGGGCTCTAATTAATTTTAAAATATTGATACATAGAAGAATATTAATTAGTAAATTGTTACTAATTTTTATTCATATTCATCATAGTTATTAGTACTTATAAGTTATTATCAAATAATTGATTAAGATAATAAAAAGATAATGATACATAATACTATTACGTATCATTTAACCACTAGCCAAAAGTAGATAGTTTTAAAAATATTCAATTTTTATCAATGAATAATAGCAATGCTAATAGTTCCATGGGGAATATACCATTTTAGATTGATAAATAATTCTTTAGACTATCAATTATTTAAAAAATATTTCAATTTCAAGAATATTATACATACTATATCATACGTACTGGATCAGCTATAATTATTAATTATCACACAACTATCAAGTTATTCAAGTTTAGATATAATACATTAGTATTTTGTACAAATTATGATAAATTTCTTAGTATAAAAATCCTAAATTACATCAAAACTATTTAATTACAATATTATTCATAATATATAACTGTGAAAAGTATTATATGCCTATTATATTATACCTATTATTAGTATAACTTTAGGTACTTATATTACTATTGACATTTAAAATATTTAAGAGGAATAATGATCATTAAAAGAATATCATAAATGTCGTTGAAGTTTTGATTTAAGATGAGTGTTGTGCAACAATGTATTCAATTTAAATGTTTGAAGGACATGCTTGAAAATGTATATAATTAAAATGGCCAACTCTAGTAAGACGGTAAAAATAATAAGGACAAATAACAAATAAATCATAGGAATACATTGATTTGTACAAGCATACACAATAGCACTTAGCAAAAAATGTCAGTGTACCATCAATATTTTTTAAAATTACTTACAATATAATTTAACGAACAAATGAGTATGAAACCTATGAATAGAAAATACATGTTTCATGGAATGAACAATCCCTCCACTGTGAGAACTTACACTTGAGCTTAACATTTTATTATATAATTAACTACTTAGTAATAAGATAAAATAAATATTACTTAAGGTAATAGCTATTTATAGCATCTTTAGGTATAAATACATATTGCATAGGTAATATAAATATACTACAGTATAGGTATAAGATAAAAGTAGCTATTCAGATATAACATTTGTTCAAAGGTCTCAGCCCTTATATTTTATAATAAATAATTGTGGGTACCTCTGTTTATTAAGTTAATAGGTCACGACCTCACCGGTTGATTTAAACTTTTTTCAGAGATTAGTGCGGATTACCAGGTAACTTAACGTGATTGACATAAGTCCTGGAGGATTTGTGAGATTTTGGAGTTATAAGTCGATCGTTGTAATAAGTGTTCTTTAGCTACGTCACGAGTTGGAGGGATGGCAAGATCATTTTACTCCTTAAATAGATGTCTTTTGCTTTAGTTTAAACCACCAATCTTTAATATCGATAATCTATGAGCGTTCGGCCGCAACAGGTAAGTGGTGGTTAAAAATGTCGCTCGATGCTCACGTCGGGGCGACCGCATCAACTGCGCAAGTACCTTGGTATTATAAACTCGACAAAAAGAGTAAAATATGAACACAATATTATTGCACGCAATATGGTTCGGTCGTGTACTCGTGTACCTAATATTATAGTTGTTTGTTTAATATTGTCTGTGCAGTACTGAAATGTGCAGATATATTATATGGTTTATCCACCCACCGACCACCCACCGCGGAACACAGCGCACTCATCATAATATCAACACTTTCGTACTATGGCCGACGCGTTGGCGGAAAACGCGATTACGGGCTAAGAGCAGCTGCGGAGGTGGGTCGGGTTGGAGAGGAAGGAAGTATGCATAGATAGCGTAGCCCAACAGTGTCACACGGGGTGGGAGAGGGGGGGTTACAATTTATGATGATATTCTTCAATATTGTTTTTTATTACAGCACAAATTGCATTTTATTATCTATGAATTTTCTATTTTACTCACTTGCGCAAAATTTTCTCCTCGGGCGATATGTTTTTCACGTACGTCCGCTTGGCCGGCGGCGATCTCGGCGACATGCACGATCCGCCGCCGACGTCCCCCGCTGCCATGTGTCGCTGTCCCACGTAGCACATGCCCGAGTTGAATATCAACATTTGACTGGGCCGGATGATGTTGGGTGCCATGAGATCTGTTTGGTCGTCGTCGTCGGGAGTAATAAAAAAACGATCTTGCGATCCGCTGTTGACGATGTAGGTACCGTAATGCGCGGCGGTGGTCCGAGAAAATAAAATCCGTTTAACGCTCTCCGCTCGAGTTATATGACTACGTTTAGATTGTTGTGTATAATATTATGTATTTAAATCGCCGAATGATTTTCGAAACTACGGATTTGTTACGAATGAAATTACGTTTAGGTCTTCGAGTGCGGCGGTAACACACACTCGCGGCTAGTGGCTACTGATGACGAACTGTGACTGAACTAGCGAAGCGAGCGGTGACCGGAGGAGGCGGCGGCGGTAGTTTTTTGTCGACATGGCATGGCAATGTGGCAAACATCAAATTCATGGCATCGATGTTTACCAAACATCGATAGTAACCGCTCATGATGCAATACCATCGAAACATTACGCGTGGTACAACCGGACCGGAGATGGTACTAACTACTTAATAATATTATGTACATGGTCCACCTACTGAAAGACGAAAGTAAACGGAAAACTATTAGTCATAACTCATTAGTCATAATTATAATACAGACGAGAAATTGAAGAATTAAAATATTAACGCGAAATGACTATATACAATTAGTTTTATCATAACATAACAATTAACAAATAACAATTTTGAATACAAATACACATATTAATATGTCAAAATGTCAAATATTTAACTATTTCAATTGTATTGATTATTAATAATTGCTTAACCATATTTCAATAACCAAATGTCCAAATACGAATGACATTGGCATTGACTCATTTTACCATTTGTATCAACTATACCAACTACCCAACTACTCTAAACAAAATACGATTGTCAATTGTATTAATTTAACATTAAGTAGGTACTTAAAATGTAAGATGTAACTATTTACTAAAATGTTATATGTATAATGTTTTGAATTAGGGTTGAGTATTGTAAACACTCGGAGTGAAAGTGAATCCCATAAATATCTAACAATGAAAAGAGGGCCTAAGTATAACAAGATGTAGGTAAATCAGTAACACTACAGTGAGTACAGTCCATATACTATACCTGCTTAATATTAGCCAAAGGTTAAAGTGGCACAAAATGGCAAGGTCTACTATGATTCGTATTATATTTTAAGAGTTCTATGTAATGTTTTCCCGTACAACAATTCATTAATTTGTTGAACCAAAAAATTTTTATCAAAATATTAATTGGTTTTCAATGGGTTCACGCCCCACCTCCTCACTACTATAAGATTCACACCCGCAAGGCACGGGGTAGAAAACAGCATGTTTTCATTTTTCGTGATTTGTTTCAAAATTTTCACGCCCCCCCCCCTGAAATGTTGTCACGCCTTCCTAGGGGGGCGCGCCCCCCAGGTTGAGAACTACTGGTGTATCGAATCATAATACCGAAATATTTTCATCTGCAGTTTTAGCATTACTACAAATTACAATTCTTTAATAATTGTTGCCGCCACCGCCACTATTTTCTTAGTTTTCCCGATTCTGGATTCTATAAAAGTACCTACCTAATTCGTCACTTTCAGTGTGTCCAGATCCTTCTTTATTATTTAAAATTTTTTCTTTAAAAATTAGGATATTTTTTCTTCAGACAATCGGACATAAAATAAAGTTATGCAAAGTGGGAATTGTATCGAGAAAAGAATATGAGTTGAAATTGTCTTGTGAGCTGTTTTTTTGTTCAGCCATATGGGCTGGTAAAAGATTTTGCCCCCCTCCTAATAAAAATATATTATAATTTATTTAGGAACCATTGCAGATAGGCGAATAGTTTTTTTTAACACTTATAACAAAATTTTAATTAACAAAGTTAAATATAATTTTAAAAAATCGATAGGAACATAATAAATTATTATATTTCCCTTGTGGCATAGGTATATTGCACAAAATGTTAAATGTATAATAATTAATAAGTGGTGAAGCACATCAGTGAAATAATTTTTATCAATATTTTTTTATTTAACTTAAAATAATATACTCATATAAAATACAAATTTTCGAAAATAAACAATTAATTTAAACGGAAAAGAAGTTATTTTGATTAAACTTCATAGCCTCAGCGTACCATTTAAAGAATTAATTAAAGGGCACACCTTATAAGCACTCGCAATCAGAAGTAAAATAAAATATATATATTCATTAACAATTAATAGAATGTTAATTGTTATGATTTTCAACAACTGGTCGGATGACTGCTACTTGTCGACTCAAAAATTTACTAAGTAGCTACTGAATTCATAGATAAAAGCATCGGATAAAAACAAAATCAGAACAAATGATGTTCTTTTTCAAAAGAGTCTAAGTTTATATAATTATTTTTATGAATTATACATCATATAATAAAAAATTATGATAAAAGTAATAGTATCCAAGTAAAAATGACTGGTTCCGAATATTTTTCAACCCTGAGTAAAATTATTATTAATGAAGTTATTATTAATATTGTCTATACTAACTACAAAGTATTATTATTTTTAAAACTGTATTAGTATTGATTTTATAAATGTATACAGGCACGTACACAAAAAAAAATTCTTGGGGGGGGGGTCATAAACAAATTGTCGCCGACTAGTTATTGTAGTTATCGATGATTGGTATAAATAAATTACACAACTATTAATTTTCGAGGGGGGGTTGACCCCCCCCCTGTATACTTGCCTGAATGTATAATAAACATAATATTTGTTCGGAAAGATAACATTTTTTTGTATGAAAACCTATGTAGTTATCATTTAAAATCGGAAAATTGGAGGAAAAAAATTATTGTTGATCATTGCGTTTTGCATCCGTGGCGTCATGGTACTTTGAACAAAAATAAACATAATGACGTTATATGAGTTATTAAGTTATACTTATTTACTATACTTAATACTATATAATTAGACTTAATTCTGTTCCACCTATGTTTAAAATGTTACACAAGTTGTTTTTTTAACATTTAACGTGAAACATGAATTAAATATTAATATTTAATTTACTATACATGTTGACCTTGGATCCCATAAAATAGATATACCTTTTGTTCTACGACTCACATATAAAACTGATTCTCTGTAAAAATATTTTAGATTTATCAACTATTTTTATTTTTTATTAGATTGCCTACTATTCTCTAATGTTCCACCAGTATAATTTGTATTATTTAAGTTATTGTTTAACAAAAATCAGAACCTATATAAATGAAAATATACCTAAGTAATAAAATATTATTATTATTATTATTTATTTTCATCATATTATCAATATACTAATCAGTTTTCTTGCTTTACCTACTGACATTTGGTTATTATTGTTAGTTGTCTTATTATAATTTATAAATCATCTCCAAGCTGGACAATCCCCCCTTCGGGCAAAAAATTAAACAATATTATAGTATTACTTATACAATACAAATCAATAAATGTCAAATAATAATATTTAAATATAATTCAATAATACATCATAATAACACTATTGCCAATACAGAATTTACTAATTTAAATACTGAGAATACTAAACAATATACAAATTACAAATGCAAATAAATAAATGTACCGTTTACTAGATTTTTTATATAATAACCATACAAATTGTTAAATTAATATATAAATTCAATTTAATAATACTTTCATATAACTTTGGTTTATTAATCTTACTATCTTATTAATCTACCCCTTAAATTGGTTAATAAATCCATAACTTGAATGATGATAGTCAATATATATACCGATATGATGATGATCGTATATTTTGAGTAAAAACAAAAAACCTATTTTTCAACTTATGATTACGTGTAATAACTAATAATCTAATCTCACTAAAAAACAAAAATTCAATAGAAAGTGTCACTACTGGGTGGCTTCTTGTAGCAAGTATTTCAACGTCAAATGTAAATTACCACTTATTCTTATTGTGCCCTACGGGTACAGATTGTATATTTCTTTTTAAAAAATAAAAAATTATTATGTGTAAAAAGTATACATTTGATTCGGGGGGGAAATGTCTCAATCTATAGAGCGAAAACGTCCGTTAAAAAACTTACCGCTAAGATTCGCAGGAGTAAAAGGCACGGAGGGGACGTCGAAATACCGATGTAAACATATGTATAGGTACCAATGTACCATCGTACCAGCCACCACCCACCCGGTACGTTGTACTGTACCTGTACTGTCTGTACTTATTTAAGAGTATACAATTTTTTAAGTACCGACTACCGACCAATTAATGTTATACTAAACAGACTAAATATTATCTACTTGTTATTATTAAAATACTTATATTAACTAGAAATTATACGCGAATACGTGATAATTCATAATTATAACTAATAGATTACCTATTTTCAACCAATAGATCATAATTACCTTCGTTTTAATAAGTCCTTAAAAAAAAATAATAATGACGATGTAAAAGATAAAAATAGTTTACAAATTATTGTTATTACTTATTAGTTTATGATAATATTATGATATCTGCCGATAATGTGTGTTTTGTTCGTATGCAATATGCATGCGTTCTGATGCTTCTGAACTTTTAACAATAACAGCTAAAGTAGTCAATAAGTATGATGTACTAATGTACTGTAAGTAGTTCATAGAAATTAATAATTATAGTACTATATGTAATGACTACTTGGTTTAATGGTTAAATTTATTATTTAATAGATAATATTAATTTATAATTCAGAAACGTAGTGAAATCAATAAAAACTTCGACTAGACACTTAAGACAAGTTATAACTCATACTCATTAGTGTATAATTGTGTATAAGTATTTTATATCTGCAATGCAAATATTAATGTCAACACGTGGAATTGACATAACTTAAAATATAAAAAACGATTTGAGAAATATTTCATTAAAAAAAAACATATAAATATGTCACTTGACTCTAAAAAAAAAACGAGTAAGGCTTGGTTATTTTTACGGTGGTATTATAATATATGCATTAAATATTTAAACGTAGGAATAATAGGTCAGGCGAGAAATCGCGATTGCCGATTGTCGCGCGATTGTTCGATAAAGCATGTACAACTACTAGTTTATAGTTTACTAATCATTACTTACCATGAATTTAGATATACTTAAGTATATACATTATACTATATCTTAATTCGTTCTACTTATTATCTGGAATCTTTCACCGGTATACCTACCGGAAATAGTTGAGCGGTGGGGGAGGGAACTAGGGGAGCACTCGATCGACCACGCCAAAGAAGAAAAATTATGATAACGTAAGGTAGATAGCATGAACAAATTCACGTAGGTATTTAGGCGTGACCGAGCATGAATCGTACATATTTTGTACACCGGTGACTAATAATACGAAATAGGGATAACGGATGTTGTTATGGTTCAAATCACAGTCTATCATTGTCATAGAACTACTTATAGTAGGTAAAGGTATTACCTATGTAGTATTAAAAGCTGATGCAACAAAAACGTTTCACGCCGAATACATCAACATGACGACCACATGTTATCCACTGGCGAACGGTAGACAACCACTTGCTGATCTACCTTCAATTTGAATATGCGTTTAGACATTTGTATTATTTAAGTGAACAATGAGGGTTGGTGCATAATATTAGCCACAAATTGCCCACAAATCACAATGTACAGAGAAGATTTCTTCTCTTCATCGTGATATCAGCCTTACGCAATTCTATAAAATCATTAAAGTAAGGTCCTAATCCTAATATGATTTTTTTCTTTGATAATAAGTAGTTGTATGTTGAAAAAATTGTTACCTACTTGTTTTTTTAGTTTATCTCTATGGTACATTGATACAGAGGTATGTTATTATATTATTTGATATACTGTAGTTATGTCTACTTTCTACCTTCACAGTCGTTATTATATCAATAAATAAGAAATTTATAAAAATTATATACATTTTTATTTGCAAAAATTCAAAAATTGAAACAATGAAAAGTGAAAAATGAAAACTGATAAATACATAAATCGTATTGCTATTTAAATTTACCAACCTTGACCTCCTATCGTACCACTATGCCTGCTCAGTGCCGTGCACACGGCGGAGAGGGGGGTGTTCAAATCTCCCCAGGAGTTTTTTTTACTATGCGTATATAGATATATAAAAATGAATAAAATGTAAAAAATATTTCGCACATAATATATAGAATTATTTCACATAACCCCTCTCATTGAAAATATCTGTACACTACTGCGCCTGTGGTACAAGAGGTGACTATATGAGGTGGCTTCGGGTCAATAGCCGGTGTAAAATACACGTCAAAATGTATAAGAGGTCTGAAACTAAATTAACATACCTATCCGTTGCCTTGTACCTATATTGGTATATAATATTTAATAGTACTGCCCATCAGTGATCAGTCATTATTAAATTATTGTCTTACACATTACTACATTAGTATATTATCCATACGACATACAGGGGCGTCATTTTTTTTGGGGGGGGCAGGTTTTGCAACGGCACCACTAACTTGAGCAATTTTAACAATTGGCTCGCCATTAATACTCCAATGCGCTGTCATAATTAAATTCTACATTATGATTTCATATGTAGGTAATATAAATAAAATATTTTTTTTTCAAGTTTTTGTGTATTTTTGGTTTATCAGGTTTATTGATTATACCTTATTTGGCTTTTTTTTCAAATAATAGTAGAATGGCTTGTTGCTTTAATTGCTTATATAAGCTTTTAATTCTTTGAATTTCTAGCTATTTAAAAGTTACATTAGTCGTTATGAGTTTCAATTAAAATTATAAAAGGGAAGGAAAGAATATTTACATAGGTTTGCATAGGTTACCTATATTTATATATATAAATGCATATTTTTTAATGGCCCGATGATATGTCAAAATTGCCCTGCCTAAAAGTTTGCACACCCTGCAGAAAAAAACTGAAATTACTCCCCTGACGACATACCTACCTAGTTCTACGCATTTGTTTCCTATGTGTGAGAACGCAAATTTATATTCTTTCATAGTTTCATACATCTTGTATTATTGTACTTTGTAGACTTAAGGTTGAAATTTATTTTTATTTAAAAAAATTAGATAAGGATTTAAAATAACTTCCTGTACACTGTACACAGGTGCAAGCAATTGGTAAGCAAAATGGGCTTAGCCCCACTCCCCGTTTTTTAATCATATTTTAGTTTAAAATAATAATTATCAGGGTTTGTGCTATGAATACAATTCTAGCCCCTGAGAAAAACGTCTCTAGTTACACCTATGCTCGTGTACATGATAATATTATGGGTATGGACTATAAACATGCGTGATAGTTGTGCACTTATGGCATTATGGCAATCAAATTAAGCTGTGATAATAATTTTATTTAAATAGAAATTAAATTCAGTCGTCTACGAAAAATAAGGCAAAGGGGAGAGGGGGGGGAAATATAATCTCATGACTCAGAATACATACAGAATGATGAATGATTCACCAAGCATGCTCACTCTCATTTGTCTCTTTAATTATAATAATACAGACAATACAGTGAAACTTCCATACAACGAAGTCAAATAAGCAGCAAAAAAAAATCGTAATATGGAGGAATTCGTTAAATAGAATTACTTACGTATTTTTATCAACTTTTTTTAAGAATTTTATTGTATGTATGTATATACTTCTATGTTGTATATCAGTATATGTTATATAAAAAACAACATCAAATATAATATTACAGTTTGATTTAGTTTTCAATTTTATAATTCAAAAGAAATAATTAGTGAGTTTTGTTTCCTTATTATTTTTATAAATTGTACTTTTTTCGTAAAAAGTTTCTAAATCATAAAGTTTTGAAATACTGCGATAAAATTAGTCAGTTTGCCTTCCTTCGGTGTCTTATCTATATCGGATTCATGTTCATGTACAATTTTAGAACTGTTTAAAATTTGATAGTGATAACATTTTAAAAAAACCAGTTTTTGTCGAATAATTATTTCGTTATATAGAAACATCAGATTTGTTATTTGGAGATAAATTTACATGTATTTAACAATGAAGGTCATGGTTACCAAAAATAATTCGTTAAATAGAAAATTTCGTTAAATGGAAGTTTAACTGTATTATATTATACATATATTCAAATTGTGATCATTTGAAATATTTGAGTTTATTACACGAATTAAGATATATCTTAATTCGTGGTTTATTAGTTTACTTAATGATCATATTTTCAAAAACTAATCAATCGTCATGACTTGAATTGTTATGACATTTAAACATTTGATTATTTTAAATTTTGAGCAGATTTTTCAATTTAATATGTCTATTTTATATAAGGATAGGCAGTTATTAATATTTAATAGTATATGTTTTATTGATAAGTGTATTTTCTTAATTCGGTAGGATTAGACAAAAACATCGCAGTCACCCTGACCCTGTGGCCTATATGCTATAACTTATAATTCGATTTCAACGTTATGTAGAATGGTGTGAATATAAGTTTGCAGTATAATATATACATTATATAATATGGTAGAAGTTTAAAACTAATATTTAGCAACCAATTACGTCAAAGGCCAAAAAAAATGGTGACCATGTACTTTTGATAATTTGAAAATACTTCAAGAATTTGTGAGAAACCTTGTATTGAAAATTTAAGCAGTTTGACTGAGAAACAAAAATGTTCAGCAAATATCTATAAAAGCTCAGAGAAAGCCTAAAGCAGAAATGTATAATGTTATAAATAGGGCTCGGATTTTAAAGGAAATGCTTCTTTTTATATATTTAAGATAGAAATCTAATTTTTATACATAAATTCGTTTCTCGTCAATCTGATTCCAAATAAACGAATTTATTTTGGCTTTTTTGTGTAAATGCATTTTTTTGCTTTTTCATTGCTATTTTCAGTTATTCTAACTGTGGAAGCTCATGGAAATATTGCAACTGCTATTTCTGGTAAGCTAAATCGTGTTCTTTTGAAAAACAAAGGCTGGAAACAATTACTGGACATTAACACTTTACTGTGTGGCGTGTCATAAGACGAAATTAATTATCATGGATTTGATTTAAACGAAACCTCTTGCATGAAGTATGCACCGATCACTTCAGTGGATGTAGAGCGATCGTTTTCTACGTATAAAAACATCATGTCAGACAATAGTCAGTTTCACTTCTGAAAATCTTGCCAAATACATGGTAGTAAATTCTTTTTTTAGTTTGAATCAACTTTTCAATTTTTTATTCAGTTTTATAAAATTATAACTAATTCATGTTAATTTTTAGTCATGCTTTTTTTTTTGCTTTTTTAAAAAATAAATATGCTTCATTTTTGCTTTTTTAAAAAAATGTTGTGCTTTTTTTTATTTATTATGCTTTAAAATCCGAGCCCTAGTTATTAATGTTTTAATACTATTATTGGAGAGAATTTTTAATCGAAGTGGTTATTTTTAAATGTCAAAAAAAAATTGGTACTCAACTTTGTAATATCTTCAAATATATTTAACTTTCCCCGTTATTTTTTCACAATTATTAAAAAACAGATGTGAATTTCGTATTTTTGAACCTTATTAAAAGTATCCACTAGATCAAAGTTGTCACCAAAAAATCATGTTCAATGTTGAAGATTGATACAATTTAAACGCTCAAAAGTATGATAACACAAAAAAAAATCACACATAATTGTAAAACTACATAATTCTTTCCTCCCTTCACTTGCCTACAATCTAAAATAATCGTTTTAATTAAATAAAAACACAGGTTTATGGATATAAAAATATATAATATAAAAATTTAATAAATATAAAATATGGCTATTCTTACTTATTTTTTATAAAATATAAGTATTCAAAATAATTTGATTTAAAACTTCTTATATATTAACAACAAATAAATATTTTTGATAAACATGGTTATTAACATATTTGCTGAATTAAAATTAGTATATATTAGAGAATATTAAGCAACAATTTCGTTTTACAATTATGTAATTACAAACCAATGAAATTAAATAATTTTTTGTTAAAGTAAAACTATTTCAGTAACACATTGAAGTGTTATATCACCATTAAAGAAGTCTTGATTTTAGCTACAGCCAAATATCGCAGCAAATGTGTTAAAACTTTGTTAATACTTTATGGGATATATTATATAAAAATTGCACTTGATATAATTATACATTTTTAGACAATATGTAGGACGTAGGTATTTACAATTGTACAATTTTTTTTAGTAAACCTTAATAAATATAAAATTATCTATTGTAAAATACATTATATTAAATTACTTATCAAGTATCAACAACCAACTTATTGGTAATATAACTATAGTTTAAGTATAAGTAGGAAAATATAAGAAATTGATTTTTTTGAACACATATAATATAATTACATTAGTATAAACTATAAATGTATAATCCTGACATAAAAGTCGACATTGTTCTGAAGAATTTCAATTATTTTAGTTTAAAAACATAATTTTATGGTTACTTATTTGATGTACCAACAACATTCTACTTCTGCTTTCACTTCTATGAATACAAATTACAGTTTATGACGACTGAAAATTATTTATGGCATATGTATGATTTTATTATAGAATAGACACTTATTTAAATTTTGAATATAAGTGATAAGTATAATACTTGTTGCTTAGAATTAAAATCTATTGAAGGACCTTATCTTTGCAGACAGGCACATCTATGGGATGAACCGCCACTAGATGCCTACATACAAAATTAATATAAAGTTAAACTATAACATTGCTATTTCACATAGCGCAAGAATTAGGATAAGAACAAAATATGTTCTATATTTATTACACGATAGTCAAGAACTATATTGTAATTAAGTGAGTAAAAATGCTATTAATAAAGTAGTTTGAAAATAAAACAGAATTAGTACCCAATTTATATCCAGAAAATTACTCAAACTACACCATGTGCTGATAATTGTTCGATACATTCATCTAAAAAACCATGATGCATTCTGGTATCAAAGTCTGTCTTGTGAATGATACCATTCCATGCAACAACATCTTCATTACCAGTTGTTATTGAAAGTCTAACTGTAAATACCAATCGCCTTTCAAAAGCTTTACTCAGTAATGATAATACACGCCTTCCTTTTTCTGTGTCTGGCAAATAACAAATTCGTGGAAAACCTAGAGCATAGTATGGACGGCCCGGATGTGGATGTTCCTCACCTTGAATCCCAGATGATATTCTACAAATGTTTAAAAGTAATTGATATAAAATAAAAATATATTTTATAGTTTGATGGTATTTCAAATGTTTCACTTTCTACAGTGATTTGTTTAACGCGAAAGCCCTATTTTTTTTAACTTTATGACTTATTGAAATTTTGATTTTTTGAAACACAAGTTCTTTTTTTTATAAATAAGAACTTACATTTTTAATGAAAATTAGTAATAAACTGCTTTAATGTAAATTACTTACTCATATGTGATTTGAATAGTTCTTGTACTACCATATCCAGGTAATGACCTATTTAAATATGTCCACTTCATAGCACCTGGTGGTTGGTTACCTCTTTTTTCTCCATAGACTTTCATACAGATTGGACATTGAATATACATCCACTTAGAAAGATTTTAATTATATTTAACTTATAATGTACCAACCATCTATATTAATATACAAATGTATTATTTTTAAATTTTAAATACCTGGTTAGAATAAGGTTGATTGTTTAAAATAGAGTTTAGACAAGTGAGATGCATTCGATGTTGACATATGCTCAAAGCTATAACCAGGCTTTTATTAGATTTATTTGATGAGATAAGTGGATCTTGACAAAATGGACATAACATGTCAAGTCCTGGCCAAAAATCATCCACTATTTGAACATAGCAAGATAATTTTTCACTTACTGAATTCACTCCTAAAAAGAAGGAGTAAATTAAATATTTAATACACTCCTTGTCTCCTTTGTACTTTAAATTATATTTTAATTATTGGAAAAATTAAAAATATACTATTCTTAAACACAATCTACTGCATGAACTGCAATGGCACAGAGTTACTTTGTTTCCATTGCTAGACAATTTAAGATTTTTAAAGGAGTAGTCTGGGTTATTTTTAGAATAACTAATATAAAACAGACCATTATATACAATTTTTAAGATAAACATATTCATAAGACGATGGTGTTTTTATACTCTTATTTTAATACTTTAAGTCTATAACATACCAACAACTGATTGACTTCTACAATCGTCTGATTTCTGTTGACATTCAAAAGCATCATCACTTCCAATACTGCCACCAGAATAATCCAAAAGATCATACTACAAATTAAAATAATTTATTTTTGACATACCTGACTAGACATAAAAAAAAAAAGTCAAGGATTTTAAAATGTATTACTCGTGATGTGCGAAGTTCATGGCTGTCATGACTTAAATAAGTTGAAATAGTATCTACACTAGGACGTCTACCACTGCGAATGCTACTTGAGTCTAAATCAATTATAGATGAATCTGATTTAATTGATTCAGTATAGCTTTTAGTTGCCGTGGTTCCTATTGGCCATTGAGCTTCTCTAGACAGTGATGAAGGATTTTTATTAGCTGAAAATATTTAAAGTTTTTTTTTTAATTATACAATTAATATAGGTATATATTAGGTAACTCACCAAAAATACTTAACAAGGTGCGAGCTATATTAGTTCCGCTGTGATGGCTATCATTAACTACTTGTTTGTTTTTTTTATAGTGAAGTTGTTTTTTAGTTATTGTATCTATATATTCTGAACTGGATTTTCTAATAGTTTCGTTTTTTGATGATAAATTTCTTATGGTGTCTACAACTGCTCTATCTAAAAATAAAAACAAAGAAAATTATATAAATCAATAATAAATCAAAATTAGTCTGAATAAACTAACCATTAAATTGAATAACTTCATCTGATTGTATTTTAACTAGTGGGTATGGTGCTTGGTTCACACGTCTAATATTGCGTTTATATCCGCTGTCATTACGTACTTGAGTTAAATTACAAAAATTTATTGTGTACGGAAAACCTAAATATGTTCGGCTTACATCTATAATTTGGCAGCCCTATAAAATAAGAATGTTGAACTAATTAATAGTATAAACAGTATAGTTTACAAAACTCACCATTGCCCAAGCCGTTTCTAGGAAGCATTGGGATTCCATATCATATGTATGCCACTCTCCAGGTACATCACCAGCCCATTCCCATCTGGCTCCTTTGCCAGGCAATGCATTGGCCGGATAGTAAGATCTGCGTACGGCCAAAAGTGCACCTAAAATGTTGTCAATTAAAGTAAGCAGACTTTTGGTAGTTTAATGTACGACAAGCAATATGAAGATCATTTGGAAACTACATATCACAAATCATAATGCAATAACACACCTTCGTTTTCTTCAGAGCACTGGTACATCGTACGCAAATTGACAAACGAGGATTCCATGTTCGGGTCGGCATCTCTCAGTATCACTCTGGTTAACTTTTTGAAATGAGCCCTTTCGAGCAATTGTGCCACTTCGGGGCTGTGAGGTTTCCATCGGCCGTTCCGGTTTTCCCACTCCCAAACGACCACGGCGTGTCCTAGGGGCATCCTGTTGCTGGATTAAAGGTAAATTATCAGTGGCATCTGGACGGCGACGAAAACAATACGTATGACGACTAGGAAAATTAAATAATTCACATTATTTGTATGCCTACGGGCAAACACCTACATAGTACATAACAATAATCGACAGGCGCAGTTGTCGATCCTACAGGCTACAACCTACTACCTATAGTGGATAGTACAGTAGTACCTGCCGAGTCCTATCCGTTGTTGTATTTACAAATCGTACTATCATCGCAGTCCGGGTGATAAGCCACCTTTAACACTCGACAGGTCGGTGTTGCTATATTCTGTGGACTGTGGTGTTACTGGTATTTGGGTTGTTATTATTCGCAAGTATCGGGCACTTATCAAGAAATTCCATGCAAATTTGCATGAAAATGAAAGGTATAATGACAATAAAATGATGAACATCATATAATACTGTACATTATAGTATATTGCGTATAGTTATTACTTATTAGTTATCGAAACTAGGTGAATAGGTGGTGATTGTTTTTCGTATGACTGGCGATAAGAAACCTATTGTATGTTGGGTTGCATTTCATTAAATGTCGGGAGCGTCATATTAAATGTTCGAATCTGCCGATCTGTGGCTTAAATATCGGTACCATGGCCCAATACAACAGTCAACTGCTAAAATTGTTTTACTTTTAAAAATCTCCGGACCCTAGGGACTCCCTAGTTACGGCTTTGATGGTCTTAGAAGTAAATAATCATGTTTCACAATGCACACCAATAAAAAGTTATAAGGTTTAAAATGACATAAGTAAATATTTATTTTGTTATTTTCTATACTTGAAAAAATGTTGAGAATATTGCACTACAATATTTAGACTCATTTTGAGGTATTTTTTAGACATTTGAAATTTGAAATTCCTCTAGTTTTTTATCTATAGATGTCAATAAAAACGTGTTTGTTTGGTCAAAAGTTTGCAAATGTAGTACAATTTTTTTTTTTTGTTATTAAAGGATTTTTATTCAATCTGTTACAATAAAATAGAACAATAAGAACAATTGATGAATTAAATAAAAATAAAATAACGACAGATTAGACTGAGTGTAGAGGCCTCCCAGCGGAGGTACTACGACATGAGTAGGACTAAATTAGGCTAGCAGGTCACGACACCACTGTCTTTTAAGTCTTTTAACTGGACTACCTGGGATAGAAGCAGATGAAAGATTGGAGATTAACGGATTCTTATTATGGGCTAGGCGGCTATTGAAACGTTTGTAGTGAGTTTTGGCTAGTTCGGAGACAAATGGAGTTTTTAGGTCAGAGTGGAGGGTGTGAATGTAGTACAAGGATAAGAAATATTAAAGATCCATAAGCACGATTTTTTTTTTATCGGTGGGTACTGGTCGGTACCAGCCACCAGGTACTCGATGTTTCGATGACGAATTACACACACTAACATTAATTTACTTCTCACACCATTACACAGCTCACATATAAATGCTAAATGAAATACCTAAATATTACTCCTTAATACGCGTCACGGTCTATCTCCTTTAATATAAAAATGAAAAATTGAAATTTTGTATAAAAAAATGCGATTAAAATTTAGTGAGTTAAAATACCGGGAAACCCGACTTCCTATGGGTAAATATTAAATAATTTCATTATATAATTCTCGGGGGCTAAATGTCCTATCTCAATATTAAGGGCACGGATGTTATAGTACTAAAAAAATAGTAAAATTGATTGCAGTATTGCACTAAAAATTACCAAAAATTGCACTTAAAATATTAAAAATTGCACTAAAAAATAACAACGTTTTGTTATAAATGTTTGAAGTTTACTGTTATAAATTATAATCTAAAATTCTAAATAATTAAAAATATATATATATACATTATATTATAATTTATAATCATGCCATCATAAATTTATTATATTATACATCATTGCACTGTACTATAAGTGTTTGTTTTAAATTTTCGAAATCAAATTCTCTTCGATTTGGAGCTAGTAAGTTCTTATACCTCGAAAAACTTCGTTCTATGTCGGTTGATGCAAGCGGAGCGTATTTAAAATAAGCTAAATCTCTTTGTTCGAATACGGAACGGTCGTCGCGCCGCGCAAGCGTAAAACCGGTTCGTCCCGCCGCCCTGCCGGCGCCGAAGCTCGAGAGCATCCCCTACCCCTACCTAGCGCCGCTGGCCGCCGACGTTTTGCGAATACGGTCGAGCTTGGAGTCTGTCTTATTGTCTTTTGTGTGCGGTCGAGTTGGACGCAACTCGTCGTCCCTCACCGCCCCGAGCCTGTGTTGTTTTCCTTTTGGCTCACTGTGTCATTGTCACACACCCATAGGCGTGCGCACGGGGGCGGCCGGGTAGGCCGCGGCCCCACCTGCGGCCTCCGGCCTTTTCTTTAATAAATGCATAGATATCTATATTATACTAGACAGCGAACATTTTTACATTTTACATTTTACATTTTATAATATTTTTGTTGTAATCGAGAATATTTAATTATACCAGTATTCATTAGTACAAGAATATTTGGAAAATTTTTAAGGGCCCCCCCTGCGGTCAAAGTCTGCGCACGCCTATGCACACACCCCGTGCGGCGTTCCGGCCATCGACGATTGTCATTGAGAGTGATCCAGACCGGCCCTGTTCCGGCCATCGACGATTGTCATTGAGAGTGATCCAGACCGGCCCTGTTCCTGCCATTACGATAGAGAGTCCGAAGGAGGAGGAAAGTGGTGAAGCAGTCCCGCGGCATGTTATTTCAAACCAGGTCATCTTTGTATGAATGTAATTTTGTAACCTTTAAACTGGCGCGATCATTGTAAATCGTACAGCCGCTATTGTCATACCAGTATTTTAATCTTGGGCGCCCGTTTTAGTTAAGCGTAGAATAAACGTGTTTATAAAGCCTTACGCTAAAGTTGTACTCATTTGGGGTAACCGTTCGTCCTATACGCCGCAAATCGATGTAGCCAACCGCCGAGTTGTAGAAGCTATATCGGCGTAGAACACGCTTACTGTTAAATCATCGGCGGGTAAACCATCGAACGATTTTCCTTGTCCAGTGAGTATATCGTCATTGATTTTAATAATGGTTTTAAATCGGGTATTCTTTTCAATAACTATCTTATATTTTTCATGGATTGAAATCCCGATTTCACAAAATACATTTTATACAATCAGTCACATTTCACAAATTATTTTTGTATTGTATTGAATACCTATCGACTTGATTTTATCTTGATTTCGATAAGATATCACTATTACTGTATAGTGTATGCTATACTACTAATTGGATTTTATGGCTGGAGATATTATGGTTTAATCTTACCCATACAACCGTTAAGTGTAAAATATTGCTAAAATATTTGTATAAAGGTCCCCACACACTGCCGCGGTGGCGGTGGCGGTAAAATGAGTCCGGACACAATTCACCGCCACCGCGGCGGCACCGCCAAGACAAAAGAATTTCACCGCCATCGCTGCAGTGTGTGGAGACCTTAAGTGAGTAAATTCTACAAAATTGCAATAAAATTGAAAAAATTCCAAAAAATTGCACTTAAAACTTTTAGAATTTATTCGTACCTACATGAAACGTATTTAAAACTTACTTGGCAATTAATTGAAAAAGTAGAAAAAAAGTTGCAAATGCAACATCATCCGTGCCCTATGACAATAATAGACGGCTGGGGCGAAACATCCTTTTACCACTCTCTATAGACATTGAGTACAGAACTGTTTTATTTTTTTTTATGTATATGATGATCAATTCAAATACTTCTAACTTTTTTTTTTTTTTATTAGCTTTTAGTGTAACTATGATAGCTCATACTTCTAACTTATACTGTACTATAGATGTATAAATGCTGAGTAGTGTTTGAATGGTATTCTAAATACTTTTTTTTAAAGTATTTGAGTACAGGCAGACAGGCAGTGTTGGGAATAGATAACTAATAATTTATCTAGATAAAGATAAAAATGAATAAATATTTATCTAGATAAATATCAGATAATTTCATGTTTAATTTTGTAAATATTCAGTGGTATAGGTATTAATACCGAGAATTACATAATTTAAAATATTTTAAAAAACAGTACACCTAGTTTATTTTATAGATAAACTTCATAAGAATATACGAAGAGTCATTTTCTGACTTAATTAATAGTTAAATAAATAAGGTAACATTATTGAAAAAATAAAATAAATGTCTTTTTTAAATTCATTTAAAACATTTTAAAAAATAGCACAAAATAATTTACTTTTTAAATAAACTCCATAGGAATATATGAAGAGGCATTCTTTGACTTGATAAATAATTACACAAATAAGGTTACATTTGAAAAAAAAAAAAATAATGGTTTAAGCCATATTTGATCTACAACATAAAATCATGTCCCAAGTTCTATTGTTTGACCTGTTACACCTAGGTGTCAAAACTTGGATTGCCTCAACTGTGGTGCTGAGGATGGAATAGTAGTATTATATTTTGGGAATACCTCTCTAATAATAGGGTATTGATTTAAAGTGTCTGTCATTTGTTTGAACTTAGGAAAGATATTGCTAGTAGATTTGCATCATTTATAGTTTTACTTCTATTTCGAAGTATTTATCATATGGTTAGTTGATTCTTCGGTTGATCGCGTACTTGAATCATTGTCTGTTTTTTGGATTTTCGATAGGCCAGCATTTAGAACTTGTACAAACCGTTTCATAATTAAAATAAACAAATAAACGAAATAAAAATAATAAGAAAATCGTAGTTCTTCAACAATTTTACACCGACGAAGAATGAAGATAGTAAGTCACTGAGTTCAGTGTTGCCAACCTCCGTTGATAAGTACATCGTACAACCACTATAAAATTATCGTATCTATCAAATTATATATCGTACAAAAAAATTTTCTCGCTTCGCTCGTAATACCCCAAAACAATAATAATTAGTAATATCATTCATTATAAATATTTGTATTATTAATGGTAATACATTTTGTTGTGGCCATAAACAAACTTTATATCATTCCGTATCACACTATCAGGACTGTTGTATAATACATTAGTATTAGTTACCACCACAGATTATTCTGTGTTACCACCTTAGATCATATACCTACATCATATTGTATACGATTTAAGGTTACCACTTATCTCCACGAAAATAAATTAAACACGAATCAACTGTAAATAAAACGGTTTAACAACAACAAAATGAGAAAAAATGTAACATGCATATAAATATAATAATTAAAATAATTGTAATTTAAACTTCTTGATATATAATAAAACAACTGAATTAAAACTTTAACAAAAACAAAATAATGAACAATATTTTACATATAACTAAATATAAAAACTAAAACAATAGTCAGTTAAACAAACTATAATATAATATGATACAACAACAAAACTAAAAACATTTGTAGCTTAACTTTTGGTTAAATAAAACAGTTTATAAATAATAAAATATCACAATGGTCATCATTCATCAGTCTTCTTCCTCAATTTCAAATCTCAATACATTAAATATATTATCATCTATGATCTATGGTACCTTTGTTATCGCCTGATTTCTCATACAATATGTTTTTTGTCATTCGACTAAACATTTCATTGTTGGGCTGAAAGTTGACACAATTTTTCCCACTGTCTCTGCCACCTTTTATGTGCTGTTTCGTATGCAGCGCCCCATTTATAGTTTCGGTGTTTAGTCGGTTTCTCAATTTGGTTTTCATACAGTTTACTGTTGAAAATACTCTTTCGCAGTCAGCATTAGCATGGGGCAAACTTAATACTGATAAAGCAAAATCAGCTAGCTCACTATAGTCACCAAGCTGTTTTACTGCTGACCTAAAAATTGAATATTTATTAGTCTTCTTAGTTATGTTACATAACAATACCAATTTTATAAAAAAAACTTACCAAAATAAATCAGGATATTTAATATTTATATCCTCATTTAAATTAGATAGTGTGAGGGGCAGTCTACGCCATTGGCTATCAATAGATTGCATCAATTGGCTGTTGTCTTCTGGAACGATCCTAGGTAAAGTTGTCATTAATGGCAATAAAGAAGGAATTTCATCTCTAAAACTCAATGATGTTGCATTTATTGGTTTAAGTGATTTGAGTTTGGACAATACAGGATCATTCATGTTGTATCTTTTTTTGATTTCAACTGTAGCTGCTTGTAAAAACTGCCTACACCTGAAATAAGCACAGATTCATTAAAATATAAATATTTAAATCATAAATAAAAAAATTAAATATATTACTTTTCATAAAAATCTTTTAGACGATGCTGATCTTTCACAATTTCTGGTTTTTCTTTATACCTCATCACACTTATGCCCAAATAAAGCTGATTGTTAATCAACTGGTACATACTGTTTTTTGGATTTATTTCATTTAATGGTGTTCTAGAAATATAATCCTTCTTCAAAAAACATTGAAGGATTTCTGTGTATAGTTCGATGATCATGTCGTGTAAATCATTTACCACTACTTCCTTGGTTTGAAAAAAACTGTTGAATCTAAAAACAAAAAAAAATTAATGATTAACAATTCAACTTAAAAACTTAAGTAGTTAAAAACTTGTTGAACATTGGTAGAATCCAATCTAGAAAGTAGTAGTATAGCTTCATGAAAGGATCATTTAAATTTTGATATATGTGTTCTGTGGCTATTAATCGCTGAGATAAATATGTGTCAGTAAAAAACAATTTCAAGGCGTCCCATTGTTCCAGGAGTCTTGAGACCACAGCACCAAGGGATAACCATCTTGTCTGGGACGGATGCAACATTTTATGTGGTTCGATATCCATAAAACGCTGAAATTGTTTTAGCTCACTTTGGCGCTTTGAGCTGCTTTTTAAAAAATTGTATATATTTCTTGCCAAATCTTCACATGAGCGTGGCAGATACTTGCACGCTTCACTGACACAGAGATGAGCAGAATGGCACACACACTTCATAATAAATATACCTGGGCAAGAGACATGCAACCTAGAAGCAACAGAGTTATTCGCTCCCATCATCACGTTGCAACCATCTGAACCAAAACCAATTATGTTAGATAATGGTATATTAAAATCACTTAGAGTTCTTATTAAGCCATTATATAAATGTTCAGCGGTTGCCGAAGATGGATTATTGGTATCAAACACGTTGTGCAATTCCCAAAATGTACTTTCAATTCGGTTTGAACCTTTATCATAATATCTGAAAATCATAAAATATTCAATTTAGTTTTAGTATAATGTATAGATATTATGTTATAATCAATAAGTTATTCATACCGTACAACTACACATGATGTTTTAATGGTTCCAATGTCAGTCGACTCATCAGTTAATAAGCTAAAATGTACATCCTTTAAGATGTTGGCAAGTTCATTTTTCTGCGTAGCACCAATAACATTTTTTATAATGGCTGTAGTCTGAGTTTGTTGTTAAGTGATAACTGAGAACGGCGAGTTCTGATTTTCTGAATACTGGGAATTATATTAATAACTACCACTAATGAAAAATGAGTAATGATCACTATGTAGATATTATAAATATAAAATATAAAAGTATATAATATATATAAATATATTATGCTTGTGTGTCCATGAATGTTTTTTTATTTTCGTCGACTCAACACGATGAGTACCTATTGATAATTATTATTTGTTTACATTTTATACATAATTCTTTGAAATGAGTATCTGCTAATTAAGACGACCATCGTCATACGGGCAGCAGGGATAGATGTTTTCGATTTTGCTATTATTAGTTGCTCTCTCAAGTTACTAGGTAACATGACATATTTTTAATTTTATACTTCTAGATCGTTTTAATATTTACGATGTGAAATTCCAGTTTAATAATAAACATCCTTATTGGAATACCTGATATGATAATACATTTTACCATAGACATATTAACTATTAGTTAATATGTCTATGCATTTTACCAAACGTTTGTTTCCCGTGTAATAGGTATACGGTATACAGAAAATTACGTAAATTTAAATAACATAACAATTTCCACAAAAGTCCACAAATAAATTACCTAGATATGTACTCATAGATAACTAGAATTTTATCTAGATAAAGATAAATATAACTTGGCTAAAATTTATCTAGATGAGATAAAAGATAAATCATTTTTATCTAGATATTTCCCAACACTGTGAGTAGGTAATGACTTAAATACTTTTTCAAAGAATTCAAAGCATTTAAGACTTTTTACAGCACTGAAAATCGATAGTGGCACATAATACCAATGCACATTCCGATAATTGCAGCATTATGAACAAAATAGAACACATATGATTTTTTAATTTTGGAAAAATGTATAGTTCATTTAGAAAATAGTTGTTACTTGTTTACTTAAATAAATAAAAACCGATTTGGAAGGGTTCAACGTGTGTACAGAGTCTTTGGAAACGCGCGATTCTTCATCATAACCTCAAAAAATGAAATGTGACGCCACTCCGACGGGTGACGATCCGGACAATTCTTACATTCTTACAATTCTTGTCTATGGATCCGGACTCCGGAGCTTTCAAGTTTCAAAGAAGTTTGGATTTCGTATTTATTTTTTCGATCGACTGATTTAGTTTCTATATTTAATTGCATTACGGAATCCGTAGTTGACACTCAGAAATATGGCCAAATTCGATTTGACGAGCAAGATGACCAAGTACCTGGACCGGCATTTGGTCGCCCCCCTGCTGGAGTTCTTGTGGGCAAAAAAAGTAAGCGTTTTTCAATTTTTCGCTTATCGTGTTTGTGGGAGACGTTTACCGTTTGAACATGGTTCACAGTAGAATTGCGTTTTGATGAATTTTCGGTCGTGAAAATTGAATAAATTGTCCCGCGCATTGTGTATATGATTCCAGCCTTACAATATTTGTTCAAGTTTTTAATGGCTGACCCCAAACCATTTGTTTATAGATCTACAACGAAAATGAAATTTTGCAAGCCAAATTAGATATTCTTAATAAGACCAACATGATGGATTATGTTATTGAAATTTACAAACAGTTGAATCCTGAAAAAGAAGTGCCTGAGGTATGTACCTACTGACTACTATCATTGTAGAACTAATATCCTACCTATGATATTTGTTTATTTTATCGGAACTTCATGATATCAGGAAATGAAAACAAGAAGAGATCAGATAGTATCGCAGCTTAATCAATTCCAAAGTGAAGTTGATGTTGTGATGAATTTTCTTAAAGATGACAAAGTCATGAAGAATATGGAAACTATGAGGGATCCTAAAACTTTGTCAACCTACTTGACCAATGAATTCAACGTAAGTGTTGTTTCTATTCTATATAAATTATTATTGATGTTATTTTTAATTCAAATTTTAGAAAGTTTTGATGTGTTGTGGTTTTTAGATTTTATTTAAACTCAAATTTTAACTTTGGATTTATTTTAATTTACTTCTTTGAGAAGTTAACTATTATTAAATTACTTGCATAGTTATACGAATACCTATATTAAATGTATTTCTTTAAAATGTTATATTGTTTAATATAAAATATGGTTCTTAATAACTTAACACCTAAATAGATATCAATGTTGTTGATCTTTAATATACAAATTTTTTTATTTGGGTGATGTTAAAATCTTAAATGTACGTAGATTTTTTCATATGCGTTGAATAATTGGGCCCTGGTTAGGGTATATATTTTGTCTTCTCTCTAGACAAAATGTATCACAACATAAAATTTGATGTGCCAAAAGTGAAGAATAGCATATGTTTTTAAGTGTGACTCGAGTCACTACTGTTATCAGCACACCATAATACCAAATGTACTCCAATTTTTGAAGTCAGAAAGAGTGGAGGAGCTTCTTCCCCACAACTCCCCGGGTTTTAAAATAATATACTGCCATTATACAGTGATTTTTAAAAATATGATAACACCATATTGTACTATTATATGTGAAAACATTTAAAGAAAACATTTAAAAATATAATTTGAAGTAGTTCAAAATTAACATTTTTGGTTTAGTATGCCTTTAAGAACATAGATTATTATGGAACTGTTTAAGATAATAAACATTGTATCAAACTATATAGTATTTCACCCTCATGATAGCCGGGTAACCTGAAATTACCATTGAAATTAATTAAATAAATCATAAAATAGTATTTTAAAATGTAACATTCAATATCTAATAAACAATAATTAAATGACTACTCTTTTTGTTGATTTAGTTTAAAGTAGAAATGATGGAAAGTATGTACAAATTCGCGAAGTATCATTACGATTGCGGAAATTACGCTGGTACAACAAGTCACTTGTACTTTTATTTATTAGTTATGTCGCCTTCTGATAAGGTAAATCATCAATTTGTAAAATTCTTATTGTATTCATTGTAATCTATTTATAGTATTTGAATTCTTGTTTAGAACTACTTGAATGTTCTTTGGGGAAAGTTAGCATCTGAAATTCTTATTCAAAACTGGGAAACTGCTCTTGAAGATTTAAACAAACTACGAGAGTACATTGATTCCAATACAAATGGTTCTCCATTGCATTTACTACAACAACGGACATGGTTAATTCACTGGAGTCTATTTGTGTTTTTCAATCATGTTAAGGGACGTGACCTTATTATTGACATGTTTCTGTACAGGCCAAAGTAATATACTGTGAATAATAGTAGCAATAATAAATAATAGTATGTATAAACAAATTATTTTGTTACCAGCTATTTAAATGCTATTCAAACCATGTGCCCACACATTCTTCGTTACTTGGCTACCGCAGTAATCATCAATCGTTCAAGAAGAGCAGCTATGAAGGATCTTGTTAAGGTTATTCAACAAGTGAGTTTAACAGCATTTCAAAATTTCATTTTCATTTTTTAAAAAACATTGTAATTTCATAACATTAAACGTTTAAATGAACTGTTTATTACTATAGACTTTAAATATTTATTAATACTAATACTGTATTTAGGAATCATATACCTACCGTGATCCTATAACTGAACTTCTAGAAAATCTCTACGTTAACTTTGATTTTGAAGGAGCCAGAGACAAATTACATGAATGCCAGATTGTTCTTTTTAATGATTTCTTCTTGACTGCTTGCCTTGATGATTTTGTAGAAAATGCTCGTTTGATGATTTTTGAAACTTTTTGTCGTATACATCAGTGCATTAGTATTGGGTATGTATATTCTGTATTTATAATTTCATAACATTTAAATTCTTTTATTATTTTGTAGTATGTTAGCCGAGAAACTTAATATGAACCCAGAGGAGGCCGAATGCTGGATTGTTAACCTCATCAGGAATGCTAGGTTGGATGCGAAAATCGATTCTAAACTAGGGCATGTTGTAATGGGTACGCAACCTCTATCCCCTTACCAACAGATTTTAGAAAAAGTAGACACATTATCAGTGCGATCAGAAGCACTACAACAACTTATTGAGAGGAAAGTTAAGGCCAAAACTCAAGAAGTAAGTTGAATGTTTTTAATTTTCTTTTACTATGTTTTTTCATAAAAATATTTTTTTTTGCAGCAAGATCCACTTTGGTATAATCCTTAAAAAAATGTTAATAATGGTAAGTCCTCAACAAATGTTATTATTCAATAAAACAATAATACTATTATTCTTGAAATGTTATTTTTTTTTTTTCATAATTATAATAACCTTCAATTATTTGATTAACTTTTTTAAAATCCTGAAAACCCTCAAAATCTATTAAAAATTAGTTACAATATGAAATTATGAAATTAATTTAGTAATGAGATATGATTATTATTTAAGATCGGGTGTGGATGCTCCCAAATAGTTGTGTAAATCTTGAATATTTGAAGATACCAATTTGACTTTTACTGTCTCCCTTTTCAAACGTTTGTGAGCTGCATACCGATGACATCCACCAAATGAATAAAAGTAATTACCACCCTCTCTTCCTACTATCCATAGTACGTCTATTGGTGGTACTGAATCTGTACGATCCGGATCCTAAATAAATTATTTTGTAATATATTATCTGTAAAATAGGTATGTACATTTAAATTTAAGAAAAAGCTTATTTAACAATTTTTTATATTTTATTCATTTAAATGTGTAAATTATTTTCTTTAAAATAAATAGAATGTAAAACTTTTAATCATTTTGTTTCAATTGTTACTATTTATTTGATGTTTAATTATTTTGGTTATTATTTTATGCTTTCACATCATTAATTATTGTATATACTTACTGACAAAGTATCCATTAAACTCTTAACCTTTCCTTCATCCACTTGTGGTGGAATTGGTCTAATGATTTCATTAAGAGGCATTTCGTGTATTTGTTCAATACCAGCTGAGTGGACACTTGTATACCTTTTGTTCATAACTAAAATGGTTTAATTATTTGTAAGTTGTTGACAATGTATATCTTTATTCTCAAAAATTATAACCAGTCTAATTTTTCAAACTTATTACATTTAACTGTGTTAAAAATTACTTTTAAAGTTGATATGAATACAATTTTTTTTTTAATGCAATCAAAAGTGCAAAACCATTGTTTATAAGTAAGCCTCTTAATTTTGTGCCACTATTGATATCATTGAGATATATTTTCTTTGTATGTTTTTAAAATTTTTAGTTCATGTGTATCCCAAGAGTTGCAAAAATTATATATATTATGTTTTGTGGCACACATTGACATTGTAAACTGACTATTAATTACTGCAATAATCTGGTAAACTATTGTAGTGGTTTTTACAGAATTATATACTGTATAGTATTTTTAACTTTCCTTACCTAAATTTGATCTGGATGCAACAAATCTTTTAAATTGATTCATAACACATAGGTTGCTATTAACAAAAATACTACACTATAATAAAAAAGAAAAGAGTAGCTTTGCTATTATGTAACTAATTTACACAGCACTCGGCTTTCATGAATCACGTCAAATTATTGCCACTTCCTAGTTCCAGTTATCAATGCCTATCGCATATTTTTTTCTAATAATTCCCTCTCCATTGGGTTTGGTTTTACATCTAGTTCGAGCACAGAATGAGACACCTCAAATAATTAATAACAACTAAAAAAATAAGAATCTTCGAGAAAACACATAAGTGTTGGTGACGGATCACTACCTTTTGTTCCACAAAATTTTTGTTCCAAATGAAATTTGTTCCAACTATATAAATATCCACATTTTACTTTAGTTCCACATTTTTTTGTTCCAACGGATCATGGTGCCAACCAATATATATGCCAAAAAAACTTGTTCCAATACATATTTATTCCAATCAAAAAATGGTCAATAATATATTTGTTCCTACACACTTTTTTCCAATCTATATTTATTCCAATAAATGTTTCTTCCAAATGATATTTGTTCCAATGGACTTTTCTCCCATGGTATAATTTTCATGCAGGTGTACCAACTTAGAAATATAAAAACTCCCATTCTCGCCATTCCATTTCAATTTTCATCCCAAAATTTTGTATTTTAAAATTTAAATATTATTGTACAATTATTGTACATACAATAATTATTGTAGAGTTGAAAAAACTATACAATTTGTTTTTTCCGGAAAATGTTCACGTTCGACCACCAGGTACACGAGTAGCAGAACATTTTCAAATTTTGAAAATTTCGCTTACGAGTTACGAGTTATATTTGTTAGTAGACATTTGATAGATATGAGGCCCTACCGGAAAATTCCAGCGTGGGCCTTTACAAAAATTTTTATATTGTAATCAAAAAAATAATAATTACACGTTTGAATTACCTACCGCTTGTGGATGACATTCCGACAGAAATTACTACGTTATATGTTAATTAGGTTCTTGTGCACATCTTAGGTTAATATGTACGTAATGATTGTGTAAATGATTGTGAGTTATATGATGAATGATATAATAATTATTTTTTAAAAATACATATACAATATGCAAATTGCATAAAAATTCCACAAAGGTACCTATTACCTATACAATTATTGATAAATAAACCACAAATAAATTTAATTGTTAATTAATTTAAAACAACGAATTGTTCAACACCATCTAGTGTTGAGTTTAGTCATAAATATTAAAATTGTGTAACTGCACTTCTGTAGTTTTTTACTTGGCTAATGTTGAATTTATGCATTATACATTATATCAATTTAAATATTTAATGAAAGCCAAGTAGGGTCACAAACAAAAAATCAAATATTGAAGCTACCCGCACATTACAACTTGAATGCTCATAAATAGTTTGTTCATGACACCACTGGTGAATTTTTGTAACATAGAACTCATAATAATTTTGTTTATTCTTGATTAACTGTTGATAAAATAATGTTACGTGTCCATTTGTACTCCTTTATATACCAATGACATTACAACGCTGTTATAGAAACACACGATTGAGCGATATACATTTCCAATAACAATATGATGCAACATATGTTGAATATAGTGTAATGCTATTAATTTTATGTTCAACAACAGTTATTTGTTTTAAATGTAGTTTCAAAAACTTACACACATACATATATTATTAATATCAATTGTAAATACATCAGAATATATAAGCAGTATAAAACTTAAAAATTGCAATGACTTGCCTAAATTAATATATATATTTTATGTATAAGGTACATAGTTATATAAGATACAAACATAAATAATGTATACATTATAAAACTAAGATTTTATATATAAAAAAATTATAAAGCTGAAATTTAAAATATAATATATATATATTATCAATAAATAGAAGCAAATAAAAAAATACATATACATATACATTAAATAGACAAAATAAAACTTTAAGAGTATGAAGTGAAGAATACATTGTTGAATACATTAGAGATGGGACAAGTTTACTTTAATTAACTGATTCATTTTTTTCAATTAAATAAACTGTTTCAGACTGTACAGTAAATTATTTAATCATAGGAATCATAATTTATTTGTTCGTGACCGCCACTGACAAGTTCATTTAATTGAATCATTAATCAATTCTAATGCGAGTTGTTTCTTATTATCAATTATACAAAATTAAATTAAATTAATACAAAATAATTTATCATAAAAATGTAAATAGTATACAAGAAGTCACTATTTCTATTTTTTTGGTTTTTATACATCAAATTTGAATCTAAATAATATAAAAAAAATTAGTTTTTTGACACATTAAAAAGTCATTAATTAAATAAAAATAATCTACATCTTATATGGAGTTAAGTAAAAAGTAATAATAATTAATATTAGTCTCAATTATCTACTCACCAAGAGTCTATTTAGTTTAATTTTCACCGACAAACTTTGGTAATCAAAGGTGAGATATTTATCAATAGTTTAATATGGTCAACTGGCAGGACAGTGATGTGATATGATATTTAATCTTTTAGTTGGGTAAATATTTAAACATAACTTCAATCAACCAACCAGGGAAATTTTATTTTAGCACAATGAAAATGTAATATTGTTTCTTAAATTAAATTTTGACCATTTATCATTTTATTTCATTGTATCTATTAATGAGAAAAATTTCAATCCCCTAAAGTAGAGTTCAATTATAATAAAAATATTAACTTCAAAAAATACAAAATTGTTTTTTCAATGGTTTATTTGTAATATCTATTTATTACATTTTGTAATTTGTAATTTAGTTTTATAAAAAAGTAAGTACGTTTTTGTACATAAAGTGTCAGAAATAGCTGAAGTGGATTGTTGTGAACAAGAAATCTCTAATATATTATATAATATATAATATTAGGGCCATGTCCTTGAGTAGAGCTAGGTGCAACGTTTTAAAGTTATTAATTATTATTTAAGTTCTAATATTAATAAGGCAGAATTGAAATCCCTACTCATGGTACCCAATTTATTTAGTTGTGCCCTAACCACAGTGGCACAGTATGGCACTTGACACAGATTACAGAATAACACAATATTTTTATAGATATTGGATTATTACTTGTTAGTTATAGTTGTAGTATGTGATAGATACCTATAGGCTATATTCAGCATTTACAATAGTATTTTATAATAGTATTGTTCATTTTATTAATATTTCAATCTTCAAGATCAACAATCGTGCATTTCTGCAAAAAGCAAGATGTTGCTTTTTCTGAAAGAAGCAATGAAGTTGTAATACAGTTGCAATACAGTTTCTGGATATATGCCTGTAAATATATACACCGGTATTTATCCGGACACGGTATTTACAACTCCATGTGGTATAACTTAATGACATTTTTTCAAGGGTGAACCTAGACGTTGAAGCTAGATGCCGATTTTGTTCATTACTCATTTAATTGCCATATGGAACTGTTAGTGGAAACAGTTTTTTTCAAACAGAATAATCTCCTAAATGGCTTGAGTACATGCCATGATTTAAGATAGACAGGTTGCGCAACGAACCTATAGATTCTGAGGCGCAACGTTTCCATAGGAGAATTGCCAGTAAGAATTACAACTAGCGCTCAACCGGTCAAGTGGCCTATTTCTTAATTAAAATATTTTATTCTTCAAACCACAACGACGCACAATAATTTGATAGTAATTTTTTGAGATAAGGAATAAGGTTTGAAGATTTCAAATTTTAAAATAATATTAGTATATTAGTGTTAGTACTGTTAGATTTTTTTATTAATTCAAATTAACTTGCTACAAGTTTTGACAGTTTCTTTTTTGTCCTGTTGGTTTTTTTTTCTTTTTGGTTCACTATGTATGAATATTGCCTCATACGCATCACAATATACATGGTAAAAATTTCAGTCACAATTTCATGTTTATGGTCAGTACATGGAAACGATAAATTTGTAACATGCAGTAAGAATTCGTTATAAGTATTTTCAAACACATCAACTGAACTTGCATGCTTACAAAAACAGGTCTCTAGAACTTGTAATATTTTGAATAAGTTGTTGTATTAACTTATATAAAGTATACAATTACAATTTTATATATATACATATATACTTACCTAATTTGCAAAATCAGACATAATAACATCCAGTTATCACTATACCTCATTTGATTTTTGCATTTAACTTTAGAAGCATTAAATATTTCATGCACCAAGTTTGATTGACATTCAGTTAAGTTTGATTTTTGAATTATTTCATTGAGTGTAGAAGTTTTGATATTTTTCATTTGAATTTTGATATTGTCCAGCTGTTGTTTTAAATTTTCAATTTTTTTATGAGCTCTTAAACATTTTTGCCGTATCATTTTTTTTGAGTTAAGAATTTTCCCAAATTTTCTTCTCTTGCTTGGTGTTAAAGGTACTCTTATAGGTTTACCAACTGATAACCGTTTTAATTTTTTAATAATTAACAATTTCAGTCGCTTACACCATACACATAATTCACTAATCAGAAAATTAATAATCAACAAATATTTAAGTAACTTTTTTTTCAAATATATTTTTGATTGAAACTACCTAATATTTACAAAATTTTTTAAAATAATAATGTATAAAAACATAAATTATTAGTAATTATGCTTTAATAATAATAGTTTAATTGAATGTATTATATTATTATACCTTGTTCCAGCTGTTACAATATTTAAACAATTTGAATGTTTCCAGTGGCCATTTGATTCCACAAATTGGGGGCCAAAAGAAGACATTATATTTTTATTAGGTTGTACTCCGTGACATACTTTTACTTTGTCAAATTCTATAAGTATATATTCTAAACTTAGTGTTAAACAACTATCTTTTATTCCAACATCTGAAGCTTTAATTTGTGTTCCATTAATGTAAAACTCAGGCTGAGAATCTACAGATTATTTAACAAATATT